ATATATATCTCGATTAACTTTCCAGGGGGGGGGGGGCAAAAATGTTTTAGTTATGTTTTAATATAGTTTTAATTTACTGTAGCGTATTTGTATGGTGAACGAACGGACAGGACATCAGCTTAGTTACGTTCTCTTTATTTTCTCTTTACTTTAATAAATTTTGTCTATTTTTGTCTAAACATTTTTTATCCCATCAATCTAGGGGGGACAAGTGCCCCCCTGCGGGCGCCCATGTCCATGAGCACTTTGCATATTGGGAAATCTAAGAATCATAACACAAGTTTTGTGCAGAATGCCCTGACATTTTCATTGGCAATACTGAAAAGCTACCCATGGTCTTGTACATCTTGTTGAGTACATTCAGCTCCTGTGTGTCAACGAGAAAAGCCAAGTCCATGAGCCATTTGGGATCACTTAGTACAGGAACTACCACCCCATCCTTCTCCATGAAGGCATTGAAGGCTAAAACGTGTTCAAACAGTAAGCAGAAGCAGGCTATATTTATGAATTATTAATGCGAAGAAAGAAGCTATTGTGAGGAGAATGAATTTTGATTTTTTTTATCGTGGAAAAGGCCTTTTTGACTAACCCTATTTTGAAAGTGACCAAGCTGTGTCAGGCTCGGAATTTCCCTCACTCGTAAACACTAGCGGCACATTTAAAAGTGATTCTTTGATACTGTGTCAGATTGTTACGATTTACACAAATATGGTTGTGCATTACCCAACTAACCGACTCTTTAAATTTTTCTCAAAACCGCACTTCGGGCATGTTTGTCTCATAAAATGCTATAAAATAAAAACTTTTAATTCAATATTAAAACGGATTTTACCTTTATAATTAACGTCCAAATCTATTCAAAGATAATAAAAATCTTTATTAGTCTAGTCGATTCGACTAAAACCGTCGCGGAGGGTCACATTGTAGATATGAGAAAAGGGAAATGCGTGGGCCGCATTAACACTCAACTTCGCTGTCATCTAGCGGGCCGCAAATAGCCCGCAGGCCACGAGTTTGAGACCCCTGGTTTAGGTTATTAATAAAGGTTGGAGTGCATTTGTATAAAAAAAATACTTATTTACATTAAGGTTTGTAATACCAATACCGACAACACAACTACAGTCTCTAATACTCTCTAACTCTAAAGGCGATGAAGGAAGAATAAAAGAAAAACAAAACAATAATTCCATTCTAAAATTGATCAAAGGTATTTGAGGATGGTTCAATATTTCTTGTCATTATTTTCATAATCGTCGACGTCGTTATTAATTACTTCTAGACTAATTTCAGTGTTTTATGTACGGTGTCTTATGTAGGCTACAGTGTCTTATGTACAGTGTCTTATGTACAGTGTCTTATGTAGGCTACAGTGTCTTATGTAGGCTAAAGTGTCTTATATACAGTGTCTTATGTAGGCTACAGTGTCTTATGTAGGCTACAGTGTCTTATGTACAGTGTCTTATGTAGGCTACATTGTCTTATGTACAGTGTCTTATGTAGGCTACAGTGTCTTATGTAGGCTACAGTGTCTTATGTAGGCTACAGTGTCTTATGTACAGTGTCTTATGTAGGCTACAGTGTCTTATGTAGGCTACAGTGTCTTATGTAGGCTACAGTGTCTTTTGTAGGCTACAGTGTCTAGCTACTGTGTCTTATGTAGGTTACGTGTCTTATGTTTATGTAGGCTACAGTGTCTTATGTACAGTGTCTTATGTAGGCTACAGTGTCTTATGTTGGCTACAGTGTCTTATGTAGGCTACAGTGTCTTATGTAGGCTACAGTGTCTTGCTACAGTGTCTTATGTAGCTACAGTGTCTTATGTAGGCTACAGTGTCTTATGTAGGCTACAGTGTCTTATTTATGTAGGCTACAGTGTCTTATGTACAGTGTCTTATGTAGGCTACAGTGTCTTATGTACAGTGTCTTATGTAGGCTACAGTGTCTTATGTAGGCTACAGTGTCTTATGTAGGCTACAGTGTCTTATGTAGGCTACAGTGTCCTATGTAACACGATCTTTCTTCAAATTGTCAAATTTAGAAGCAACATATTTTTTCCCCCACGAATTCTATTTTTCCTTGTTTCGCAACAATTATGTTGCCTGATAAATTCGAAAGTTTCCTCCAAGACTTCATCAAAATTGCTCTGATCGTGACATGCCATACTTGCAACTGTCTTGCCGTTTACTTGAAATTTTTTTGCGAAAACTATTCAACACTGTCTTAAGAGCCTGATCATTCATTAACATCAGCAATTTAAAAAAAAAATTGTATCAAACAATGGTTCATCATCTGCAACTAGATAGGGACCCTGCAATTTTTCCATCACCCACTGGTCGCACTTCGTTTTCTAGAATGCACAGGTCGTAAGTAGGACAAGGAGAACGGCAAGCCTCAAACGACTTTAGTTTGGACAGAGAGGAGAGTATCTCTAATTACTGTATAATTGTATAATTTACATGAAACCCATTAAATCATTGGTGTCTGTGTTCAAAATATTTTTGTTGCGGGTAGCAGACGTCGCGCCGTCCCAACACTTAAGCATATCGGCGGCCCATCAGACGATGCCCGATAGGTCGATACGTAGCCTACTGACCGTACCCTTCTTCCCTGTCAGTGGCTCAACCTAGTAGTTTTTTTTATTTTTTATTCTTCTTTCATGTCTACTCCCTTCGCTCACAATATGTGATTGTTTCATGTGTAGGACCTATCATAGGTACTGACATTTTATTTGTTTCATTGTTTTGTTCGCTGACGAAGGCTTTCTGCCGTCACGTTCGCTGTTTTGTTGCGTTTATTTTTTCAGGTTTAACCCTACTCTGTTTTACTCATTTTATTTTGTACTAACCTGATTGCAGTCTCTCGCCTTATTACCCTGTTTCATGTGTAATCTTCGTGAATTAGGTGTGTCTAATGCCAGGACCTCCCCGGAGGCGGGCCTCAAACTGTAGCTACGCCCATGTACGCAAGGCCGTGCAGAGGATTGTCGGGCCCTGATTAGGACCACCACACATTTCATGATGATTGTTTAAAAAGTCTTGTGAATGTAAGACAAATAATACTTTATTGAAACACTACAAAAGCACCAATTTTTTAAATTTATTATTTTAATTTTATTATTAGGCCTATTATTAATTGCAAAATGATCCATGATAATGTTATTTTTTAAAAGTGAAGCTTTCAGTTTACGTTTAAATTTAAAGATATGCCTACTCACACTTACCAATACTTAATTATAGGGCAGGGCTAGATGATTGGCTCTATCTTGAACAATATGGCGATGGCATGGTATTATGGTTGACCGCATGCTGTGCGGCCCTTCTCAACAGCACTCAGCAATATAATTATAGAGTAGTGAGTTAGTGAGTAGAGGCCTACTACTAGAGCTCACTCAGTCACAGCTGAGCGCTTGAGATGAATTATTAATTATTATTAATAATGTGTTAAACAAATGATGCTAAAGTATAAAGTATAAATTATAATTATAGAATAAGTGGTATCATTTGGTATAGTTTTTTTTCCCCAAAATGTCAAATATATTTTAAAAAAAAGGTCTTAATTATGATAATATCATTTAATTTTATATTAATAGAATAATAATACTTAATAATAGTATTTAATTGTATTAGCCCACACTTCTACTACTTCTAGTTCTAGCTAGGCTTGGACTAAAAGAGAATGCTGTTTTAAAAAAGAAAAAAAAAAAGCATTGTGGTTTAAATTAGAGCGAAGTAAAGCCAGTCTGCTGTGCGGTGCACATTTAATTTCGCTCTGGTATGGCATTTAATGCCCATTCTGTCTGGGAGCGAACCAACCAAAGTTAAAATGTGCGAGGGGCTTGAGGTTAACACTAGAGAATAGTTTTCTGTGCTGGAGGATAGAATGTCACATCATGGATTCGAAGAGGACCGTATGATGTTCTGTTTATTTACAGTGTAGTAGAGTCAGAGGGCTTAGACTTAGAGCCAAGTGTGCAAAAGATAGTGAGATTTTTTTTTTTTTTTTAATTTTCAGTTCATAAATATGTTTACTGTGTTAACTGCTGTGTTAGATTAGCCTTTGCCTTTATTAATGGTTACTCACTGTCTGTACTTAGACTTAGAATGTAATTTTACTGCACTCAGTCTGAATAAATACTTCATTTAAATTCAATTTCAAGTAGGCCTATTAAGTTAAAGTTAAAGTAAGTTACTACGTACTTCACTCAAACTTTCAAAGTTGTTATTATATATTAATAATATTAATGAAACTTATACTTATATCTTTAGTCTTTAGAAAGGACTCAGTGTTCAGTGTTAGAATTTGAAGTATCTCCTTTCCATTGAAAAAAAAAAGGATACCAAGTTCATTTTTCTATCTTGGTATTATTAGAAAAAAAGTTGTCGCATTTTTGGTGTCAGAATTTGGCCTTCTGTAGGCCTTAGCCTTAGTAAATAATTACCAAAATTGTTTGATCGAAAAAAGACATCTTTGACACTCAAGAATGTCAAGATGCGATAGCTTTTTGTCAGCAAAGTTAAAGCTCTGAAATTTTCAGCGCATTTCAATTAAGAATTTCGCTTTATTCTTTACTCAGGCCTAATCTACTGTGATGCCACACATTTGCCAGTTTACAGCAGCCGCTAGAGTAAGTCTTATAAGTTAAAGGACCTTAATGAAATAATGAATAACTTTAATTAAGTGTGTATTGAAATGTTATACTTTCAGAGGTTTAACAATATTGACAAAGGCATTAAGTGGCCTATAGTATATTATGATAGGCTTATACATTCATAGTTATGGAAAAAAAACAGAATAATGACCACTGACAATCAACAACATCCTACTTTTAAAAAAAAACATTTAAATACTTTAATAATTTGATTTTGATGTTATTATTTAATTATTTTTATCACTTTCCCTCAGTAACTGAGTCAGACTCTGTAACAGGTGAAAAAAATTATAACTCACTAAATTGACTAAAATTTAGTCACTTAAGTGAGTCAAAGTTATTACATTTATATAATTTATTTACTTGTCTTGAGTTTAAACGTTATAATCCAAATGAATAAAAAATTGGAGAAAAAACATTTTGTTATTTAGAAGTAGGTTACATCTGATTTTTAAAATCTTTTTGGGAAATTTATTTAAGAATCTTACTACAACTTGTAAGGTCAAATTTGTAAGTGGGGGAGGAGCAAGGTTTGTGCTTGTATATTTGAAGAGGGTCCTAAGATGTGGAAAAGGGTACCAAGAATATACCAACTTTTATCTGATATTTCAAATTTATTTGTTTCAGGTTAATGAATATATATATTATATATCCTGAAATTATGAATTTCCTTAAGTGATTTCCTTACTTTTATTGTGCTTAATCAATGATCTTAAAATATTAATAATATACATTTTTATTTTTTAAAATCAGAATGAGAGTGAGAGCACAAATTAATAATCAATTTTTTTCATAAGGCATAAGGTAACAGCTGTAGATAAGTCTTACATAGCTATTGGATTTAAATAGTGAAATAGTGTTTCATTTATGGCTGTTGGAGATCCTATTGACTCTATGTTATCCATGTTTCAAATATGTTAACATGAAATGCACAAACAAGGAAATCTATGACAGTGGCATTGTGATAAACTCATTGTTCAAGTGGCTTTTGTTAAAACCTAGATTTTGATTATGCTAATCAGCAGGAAGTGCATCACAGTGAATCATTAGATCCTACAATAAACCATTAATTATTATTTTTTCTAAAAATTACTTTATAACTTTATAGGTTCCAAAGCATCACATTTGAGGGGTCAGAGTAATCAGACGAACCCCCCAAGCTTATCAGGGACTTCTGATAAAAAAATAAAAAAATTTAACTTTCATAAGTGAGCTCAGTCACTATGGGTAAAGACGATGATAAAAATGGTAAGTTCATGAGCCTGTTAAGGTATTGACAAAACTTTTTCTTAAAAGTCATAATGACATTAAGCTATGACTCAGGCAAGTTATCAGTCAGCCAGATTTATGACCTACATTTAATCAACAAGATTAAAACTGACAGGAAAAAATTTGACCTAATTTATCTGTAACTGAGATTCCATTTTGTTGCAGTGTTAAAGAGAGGGTCGGTTTCTAAAAAGGACCTCATGGATGAACATGTACGTCTGGTGCAAAAAGAAAAAGAGCTGAGCCAGAAATATGATGAGGTGAAGGCCATCTTCCAGGTTAGTTTGTATTGTGTTCATTTGTTATCAGGAGAGCTCCTACAGCCAACAGTGGTCAAACTCAAATAGCCAAAGGTGGGAAATGTAATCAATGACTTGAACTTTAAACACTGAGTGAAAGTAGGTTATGTATCCTGTGCTATGAGAGGCCTTCAACTCCTTTCCTTCATATGTAGAAAGGAATGAAGTATTACAGAATGGTAATTTCAAATACCTGGTACTTATCATTATTAAAAATGATGGTGTCTCAAGCAAATCTATATAGCTTTTTAAAATATGAATAGTGGTTTGATGGGCAAGATAATAATTGAAGCTGCAAAATACCATGTCAGGTGCAAAGAATAATGTTGACTTATAATAATGTATATATTCATATCAATACTCTAATCCAGTGGTTTTCTACTGGTGCTCAGCAGAGCCCTAAGGTTAGAGATATAAAGTAAAATGTTGACTTTAAATGTATATATTCATGTCAGTGATTGTCAATACACTAATTGAAGGTTCCCAACTTGTGCTTAGCAGAACCCTAACCCTGCGGCAGCTCCCTCACCCCGTAATAATATTAGCTAGGCTTAAGGAGCTCCCCCATCCCCATTGAAGTTGATTTTGAAAAAGGCTCACTAAGTTTGAGAACCACTACCTTAAACTGCTTTGGAAATTATAGAGAGCAGTGTCTTAACATTTATTAAATAGATTTGATGGTACTTGTACTTGAAAGAATAGGCTAAAAGCTATCAGCCACCTCTGACTCTGACAAGAGGAATTTCAATGTAATTTCAGAAGCTAGATGAAGCCTATCAAACATCTAAGGGGACATTTTCAGTCCAGAGATATGGCAAGCTCAAAGATATGATTAAAAGCGCAACGAGTGAGTCAAACATCCAACAGATACAGCAGGCCATCCAAGCATCACCGGGCCAGACTGCTGGTACAAATTTGAGAGTTTTAAAATAATTTTTTTCCATAAAATAGATTAAACTGACGCATAATGTATTTAATATTAAAAAAACCTGTTTTGATCTGTTGAGTATTAAGATATTTGTTAGATAGATTTTCTCTTTGCCAGTTGACAGAAAGAACTAACACTCAAAGATTTATTTAAATAAAATTTTGGTCTCTACACAGCTGGCACTTTTGCTGGACTTAAATGACTTTCTCATGTCAACGTTTCATTGGTCACCTGTCAACAGTTCATTGGCCACCTGTCTTTGTAAGAATATATTCAGGTTTTTTTATAAAAAGTTATTATTTGTGCACAGAGATAAAATATTTAATGGTTTGAACTCCTGGTTTGTTTCAGCCTGGTCCGGCCTGACGGGTCTGTTGAGTAAAGCCAAAGTGTTATCAGGGGAATCCCAGGATCCGGCACTGGCACAGCCTCCAGCCAAAGCTCCTGAGAAGTCTTCTAGCTTTATTAAGAAAATAAAAAAATTGACAGGGTTTTCTGACGATCCTATTACAGGTTTGAAATATTTTTTTCTTCTCTTTGTTAATTTACATCTCTACTTTGCCTGAGAGTTGACTTATAAAACCTTTTATTCCTCTAGGATTTTCATTTTAAAAAGCAACAACCAAACTACCATATTCATCTTATTTTCTTTCCAAAAAACAGGATAAATGTAAATGTTAAGTTTCATACATTGACCAGCTACTACCTAACTTTCTTTGAATGTATACTTGCTCTCTTGCCCACACAAATGGAAGCAAATCCAAATGAAGGAAATTTTATGATCATGATAAATAATATTGTTTTAGAAATAATCTTTTAAGTTGACCAGTGCAATTTCAATTTCCTGTTGTCACCCGCCTGCGGAACTATTATCTACCCATGTAAAGGTATCGATTTTTAAAGTTTATTTCAGATCATATAAGATCATTGTTCTGTACAGTTACATGGCTTTCCAAATTTAATCTATTTTAAGATTTGGCTTGTTAGATAAACAATACGTAACAAAGCCAGAATACAAAGAAAAACGATACCAAAGATAGTGATTTAACAATTTTCAGTTTAATTATACTATTAATTTTATATATAAATGCAAAATCAAAAATACAGAAATAAAAGCTACCTTAACTTACAGCACATCAAGTGAAAAGGTATAATCCTTGAAAGATACAAAAATATTACATATTAATGAATACACAGACAAAGAGTACAATCTTGTAAGGCTCCTTTGTGTACACTATTTTATCTCTCTTTATGAATATATACATATATATTAAATGAGTGTATGGTAGTTTAGTTGCTAGGTGCCTGGAACAAGCGTCATGCTTTACAAGCCACGGCTAGTGGGAATTTGGCAGACCACGGCAGGTTCTAATTTGTAGTAGATGGTTAAGTTTGATTTTGTAAATTTAAAAAAAAATTGTGCCATTTTTTTGCAGACGCAAAATAAAAATTTAAAAAAAGGCAGATGTGGGAAAATAAAAAAAATATTATTCAAAATTAGGCTCTTAAAATCTAAAGGAAATCAATAAAAATCACATTAATGTTGGTTCCCTCCTCTATAATTAACATTTTAAAAAATTTTGGGGGTTGGTAAGGAGTGATGGGTGCTGTCCATGGCTGGACAGGGGTAGATGGTGATGAGGTCAAGCTTTTCACCAGTTGTTGTTTTTATACGTATGTAGATGTTTACGTTTATGTAATTGTTAATTTTTATGTAAAGTGCAGTGAGCCTGGCCCTAGGCTGGGGTACTCCGCTATGTAAAAACACATAATAATACAAATAATAATAATTCAGCTTTTGATTTGATAAATAATGACAGATTAAAATTAAATGTTTTTTTTTTAATGTAGATGAAGAAGTCATGTCTGAAGCTCAACTGACGAGGGACAACGGCAGGAAACAACGAGCCATCACATTGTTGACCAACCAACTATCGAAAGCTGTAACCCAACTTGAGAAACTGAGACAATATTATGAGGCATCAAAGTCACACGCACCACCAAAACGTTATCAAGAGCTAAAGGAAATGATAAAAAATGCGTGTGCTGAAAAATTTTAATGGAGTCCTCATAGTAAACAAAGAACTGGGAATTAATTTAATGGAGTCCTCATACTAACCATAGAACTGGGAATTACTTTGCTTTGGACCAAACAAAAAAATTTAAAATTCTTAAGGTCGATAATTATAATTGTTTGTAAAACTTTTTTTTTTGATTCTCAGCTATCACTTTAACCTTAATGATCATTAAATTGTAACTATTTCAAAAAGTAAGGTAGCACCGATAAATTAACATCAATAGATTTTCATTCCATATTCTATTTTAAACAGAGTGCTTATATTTTTCAAAACTTTAAAAGAAAAACAATTTTATCCTATCATAATTCTTATCTCTTAAAACCCATCCGCATTTACATAAAATGTTTTTTAAACAAATTGCTTGCTGTGTCAAAAGATGACGATGACATGTGTACATTCTTATTTCTGAACAATGTGTCAATGTATGAAACTATTTTATCTTTTTTTATATTAAAAATGTTGTATTTCATTTACTCTCTGACATAATGGTGACAATATTTATTCCAATATTCATATAAGTTCATATATAAAATTTTAAAACTTGTTTTCAACGCTATGAATATTTATTAAGATAGATTCCTGGATGGCTGATTATTAATTGTGGGCTTAATTCTTCTTATTGGCATTTTCCCTGCAGCAAAATCAAACCATAGTTTCATTAGTGCAATTCATTAATGGTAGTGGCATTGGTTAAATATGAAATGACAGAAAACTGAACTGACTACACAAAATTAAAGGAGCTTTCATAACATTATGAGGTTTATTGATTGATACAACCAGAAATGTCAAGGCCCATAATTTTTTAACTGTTTATTCTGAAACCAAGTTACGCCAAGTCAAAGGCATGTTCTTATAATCAATGAATGTTGTTATTATTATTAAAGCTGAAATGTTAATTTTGGAGGTGTTGAGGGGGAATTTTAATGTTATGTCCCCTTGCAAGGGGTTTAACATATTTTTAAGTCAGTCTGTGTGCTTGCCTTGACCTGTGTAAGTGTACTTACTTCGACGTGTGTTTGATATGTAAATATAATAAAATTATTAACCTTATTTATTACAAACCATTGAGAGATTAATTACTAAGATTCTAATAGCTCTGAAATACTGTAACAATATTTTTTTTTCTAAATAGTTGACTCTTCAGACCAAAGTATAAGCCTTGTCCTTTTGTTATGAGATTATTTGTATGGTTCAGAAAGATATCTTTAATTGTTAAAATGAAGTTCAGTTATGTTTAAAAAACAATAACAAAAAAAAAACACCTTTTGTCTGCAATAATTTCTCCTGCTGAGATAATGGCACAATCTCACGGGACATTTTTAAAGTTATTTTTTAAAAAAATATTGTTGTGCCTGTGAACCCATGCAGCCTCAAGTGCCATACTATTTCACATACAAAGTGTTCATATGATCATGTTATTCCCTCTGCTTAAAAGTTGGTTGTGCCTTCCTAGTGATATTTATTCAAAAGCTGCAATCCATTTGTGAGATGTTTTCACAATGTTCAGGTCACGCCATTTGTGATCTGCAAACATTACCTTCGACTGTCTTCAACAGTTGTGTTGTCTTCTTTAACAATTTCACTGTGTTATGCGTGACCTTTCAACTTTGCAGAATGTAAATAAATGACAAGTTAAGTTTTCCATTTGTATTTTTCAGGATTTCGTTACTTTCTTTGAAGTTCTCGTTCTCAGATAATTTTCTTTAAATGGCATATTTAAAATAATTGTATTTTTATTTTATGCCGGATTAGACTTTTATTTTTTATGGATTAGTTTTATAAAAAATGAATTTAGTTTTATATTGCGCCTGATGAGGTCATTTTTGTGAATTATTTTAAGTGAATTTATTTTTCACCATGTAAACCCCAGTAACTTTAACTTTGATATCTTTTATTTTGTTTTTGAAATGATTTTTTTGAAAAATATTCCTCTTTTGAGTTATTTTCCTATGTTGTAGACATTATTTTTGGTATATGCTTGTGTATAATTATAATTCTTTTCTAACTATAATATTAGGAATAAATCTCATGTTACGATTCTCTGTCGTGTAGAATGATTTATGTGATGAGTAGAAACTTGAACATCTGGTCACAGGTCATTCTGACTCGTATGTTTTCATTGAGAGATTAGTTACCAAGACTCTCTAAGTAATGATTGTTTTTGCTGCCCTCTTGGATACTACTTCTCAGCTAAATGCTATTTTTTAATTTTATTCTGTTTTTTCTGTTTGTTCTCTGGCGAAGGCTTCCTGCCGACACGTTCGTTGTTTTGTTACGTTGCTTATTTCAGATTTAACCACCTTAATTTGTTTTACTAATTACTAGGGGTCGCAAAACCGGTCCGTTTTACCAAAACCGTTATTTTCAATATTGAAGTTTACAAATACCGGAATGCGGTATTTTCGATATTGTCAATATTTAGAGAATTTCGTGTCGAGCTTAGAGGTGATGATTTATTAAAGGAATAAAAACAATAAAAAAAAATAGCATTTTGATTTTTAACAAGTTTTTAACAATAACACAAATGCCTAACTTCAGACATTATCAAATTTTCAAGTAATTTGTGTAGTTTTAATCTTTGGTCAAATTCAAATAATGAGAACGTAAAAATGACAACGTGTCTAATGTTTGAATGTTACATTTCGAGCGCAAATGGTAACATGTAACCAGAGGACAAGAACTTCGGCTCAGTCTCCACAAGACCAAACTGATGTCTTTGTTTCCCATAGTTTCATCATATGCTTGTCATAGTTTGGTTGATTTTAATCAGTGTCCCCCATTTTTCTTTCTATCAACAAGAAGGGGAAATAAAGCATTAAGGAAAATGTATTGATTCAATCTATTTATTGGTTGGACACGTTCAACTTTAAAAAAAATTTTAAAAAATTTTCATGTAAATTTTTGGCTAAGTATGGTACAGACAAACGGGGACATTCAGTCATGTAAATGTTTGGCTAGGAACAGTACAGATAAACGGAGACATTCAGTCATGTAAATGTTTGGCTCGGAACAGACAAACTGGGACATTCAGCCTGTGACAAAATAGCTCGTATATCAATTATGAGGTAAATGTGAATTATTAATATTGTTTTCACAAAATAGTAGTAACATACTTTTTCTATGTCTTAAACTTGAGGTATTTGATTATCAAAATATGGATTTACTCATAGTTTTAAATATGTAGATATTATGGCATAATTAAAGGAAATCAAGCCATCCAACATTTGTGTTATCCCCCGTGTTTCCAATGCAGCGTGTTATTATCCCCACCATCTATTTCATGTTACAGACAAATTGTTCATGTAAGTCAACATTCTATCCTCATTGGACGGTACAGACAAATGGTTCATGTAAGTCAACATTCTATCCTCATTGGACGGTACAGACAAATTGTTCATGTAAGTCAACATTCTATCCTCATTGGACGGTACAGACAAATGGTACATGTAAGTCAACAGTCTATCCTCATTGGACGGTACAGACAAATTGTTTATGTAAGTCAACATTCTATCCTCATTGGACGGTACAGACAAATTGTTCATGTAAGTCAACATTCTATCCTCATTGGACGGTACAGACAAATTGTTCATGTAAGTCAACATTCTATCCTCATTGGACGGTACAGACAAATGGTTCATGTAAGTCAACATTCTATCCTCATTGGACGGTACAGACAAATTGTTCATGTCAGTCAACAGTCTATCCTCATTGGACGGTACAGACAAATGGTACATGTAAGTCAACAGTCTATCCTCATTGGACGGTACAGACAAATTGTTCATGTCAGTCAACAGTCTATCCTCATTGGACGGTACGAATCATTTATCTGTTAATTATATAAAAACATTTACTTTCCAATCATTTACCGTCACATCGCGACCCCACTTACACACGCACTAATCACAACGCTGTGATAGTTGACAAATGAACAGAAGGCCTACACAGATCTAGCCCGTCGGTCGGCTCTCTTTGAACTTGATACACGTGGTGTGAGGGGCTCACATACATTATTGAAATGTCTTGCTTTAACTACGACATGAAAACTAAGAAAAGCGATAAATATTTTTTGAAAATAAATTCCCGAGATTATCGTAAATCCCGGTTTTCATAAATCCAATCCCGGTTTTTTCTAGCATCGATCACGGTCCGGTATTCCCGAGAGTCAGATCCCGGATTGCGACCCCTACTAATTAACTTCTTCTTCTATGTCTTAAGGGCCCACGATCAATTTATTGATCATTTTGGCTCCTATGCATGTAGAGGGGATTTGCAGCTTTTTCCATTTGCACAATGACCTATTGTGCTAACCTGATGGCCGTCTCTCCCCTTATTACCCTCGTGTATTGTCAACCATTGGAAAACAAGATTGATCCTCAAAAGAAGACAGCACGATCACCTCAGTATTCTCTGTCATATCACAGAAAGCGAGTCTTGACTTCTGACTGGAAATTAAGTCATGATGATTTCTAGAGGTAGCTAGTGAGTTATGTAATTCCTGTGTTACACCCCCCCCCCTTCTTTTTTCTTTTCTTTCTTTTGTATTGCAAAGCAGATAGCTTGGACCATAAGGACAGTTCAATAAATAAATATTAACCCTAACTGTTTGATGATCATATTATTTTTAGATACAAAAATATTGTATCTTTTTTGTTACCATTACATGTAGGCCTACTGGTACTCCACAGTCAGTGACCTTGAAATGACACCTTCTCCAAAGTATTGAGGATGGCCCAAGTGTTGACAGACATGCTGAGGTTTGGACTGCAATGATGCGGGATGTCAGATTGATTCATTTCAGGAGGAGGTAACCTTCAAGTCTCTGTTTGTGCTTATGTTCCATTTCTTGACCTTTTGGAAAGTTACAAGTAAATTTAATAGTAAAAATCAGGGGCGGTCACTCTGAAAAAAAAATGTAACCTTAAACAAATTACGCAGTTGTAAGACTTGTCAAATATGTTCAAGTTCAATCGATATATTCTGTAACGATGAGCGAAAAATGGGAGGATCAATTTCAGCCAACCAAGACGTCACTCCCCTCTGTCCCGGATTAACGTAAAGACAAATGAGGCCGGTGCTTAGGGGCCCCAGGCAAGGGATCCAATATTTATTATTTTTAAAAAAAAATAGGCTGTTGTGGGGGGAGGGGGGGGGAAATACTTGATTGATCTTGAACTTTTAACTTGCATTGACGTAATAAACAGTAAAGATTGGCATCTCGGGGACTGCATGCATAACACGTTAAAAGATTTAGGGGGGGGGTGATAAGGAAAAAAAGGGATATAAAGCAAGTAGCCTTTTCCTCACATGTTATTGATCATAGTATTCATAAGGAGGACTTTAAGTGGCTGTCTTCTTTTGATGACATCAGGAATGAATAGAGTAACAAGTGCTGCGTCGGTGCATTGGGTCAGTGAATAGTAAGTGATACAACAACAACAACAAACAAATGAGAAATGGAAACAAAACTACTAGTTCATTTCTCAGTGCGACATTTGAGTCGAACTCATAGGTAGGAATAGGACGAACTCATAGGTAGGAATAGGACGAACTCATAGGTAGGAATAGGACGAACTCATAGGTAGGAATAGGACGAACTCATAGGTAGGAATAGGACGAACTCATAGGTAGGAATAGGACTAACTCATAGGTAGGAATAGGACGAACTCATAGGTAGGAATAGGACTTGGATGCTTTGAGGGTGATTGGAGCAGTGCATGTCGTGCATTGACTACATGCATGCTGGCTGCTCTTTTTCTTACAACTGGAATTGCGCCAACCCCCCTTCTCTTGATACACTCATCGATCTTATAATGTTACGTCTACATTTCAACCTCCCCCCCCCGCACCCCTTAGATCTGCCCCTGAGGGAGGCGAATGTTTGACTGCCCAGGGGCATCAGCCTGTTTTAATCCATCATCCCCCCTCTCCCCCACACCACACACACACACACACAAACACACAAGGCTGTCTTCCGATTCGATTAATAGTGGGTCTAAAATAGTTAAAATCGAGACATTTATTAGTGTACACCTGTTTAAACCACTACCAGTCAAAGGTAATTACGGTGGTTCTCAAAGAGGTGATCCGCTGACTCTTGCCGGTACCCGAGTCCAAAGTCGGCGGCCCCTAAAGGTAAGCAGTTTAAGATGATTTAATAAAAACAATAGTCGTCTAACTGTGCGACCGTCTTCCCCCTGCAACACTGGATGCATCCTCGCCGGTCCCTTCACACTGAACATCGTGGGAAGCCCTGCTCTATGAGATGGAAGTCAGAGAGTCATTAGGAGGATCTCTGACTATGCCGGCCGCGTACAGACTGCCAACTGGCGAACGACGACAGCTTTCCCACGTGCGGTCCGGTTACTTATCGATATCTCTTATCAGCTGGCACGCGCCACCATTGGAACTCTTCAGTGACTTCACGTCACAAGATCAACTACTGCTTGGCGGCAGACGACATAATCTCGTGACACAATTTTCTTTCAAAACAAGCTCTGTCGGTGCGCCATAGATTTGATTTGATTTTTGTCCAATATTTTATTCGTTGGTTTGTTTCAAAAAACGATTTTTAAAAAAATTACATTGAAAAAAAAAGAGATTGTTTTTCTCGTCAATAAATCGGTGTTGACATGCTCGCCGAGCGCAAGTCGCATTGGATTACTCGTCAAATAACAGATTTGTACATCTCCACCGGCGTTGCAGAGGGATACAGGTAAGCCTATTATCGTAGTTTGTCAATTAACTTCATTTTTGGCTTCACCGTATGATTTAATTGTACTCGCAGGAGTATACCGAGAACAGGGCGTATTATGTGGTTAACTTCGGGTTATGGCGCCCCTGACTAATGACGATTTCTGCACCCCTCCGTCTACTTACCGTGTTCAAAATGATCATCCATGACCACAGATAGGACCATGTCGAGGAATAACGGCGCCCGGGGTGAAGACTGAAAATGCCACCCCACCCCCCCCCTCCGGGACGAACTCCAGAAATTGCGCCCTCACCACTTGCTATCATGTAATGTTGGTAAAGACAAAACCAAGTGCCGATGGGGTCGTCAGCCCCCCCCCCCTTTCCCCCCTTGGAGTCACTACCAGCAGATAACGGTACCGATGATATTCCCAATCAAAGTCTAGTTTCTTTGTCATTGTTAAATCCTTTATGTTTACTTCACTTTTGTGGCACAATCTTTGGACGGCTATTTGATCCACTTCCCGTCATCCTATTGACCTGAAACTTGGCCCATAGGCTCGTTGCCGATGACAACACATTCTTTCAAATGATTAGCCCCCACCACCACACTCAAATCATTTTTTCTTCTGTTTTTCAAATGGAAGATGAATGCCATAGGATGTGTTCAATGGGTGCGTGCTTTGGTGTGGAGATGAATTGTGTAGCTATTGCCATGTGCCACAAAATATCATAAAAAACCCATTCCCAAGCCAAAGATCAGTTGTTACAATCACATAAATGATAAATCACATCAAAATACATAAATGCAAACAAATATGCATAAAAAGGATTTATACGAAAAACCATTTTTTTAAGGGGTCGTCCATTTCGTCTTTAGGCCATGCATTTGAACATGTATTGATAGATTATGTGGAGATTCGGGAATAAATTGTAGCATGCGATCGAGAGGGGCCCAGTCATTCGAATGTGTCATTGAAGACTTGAAGTTCTCTTAAGGTCGGAACGGCCTGGGGTGGGGGAGGGTGGGGAAGAGAGATTTTCAGGAAAGAGTGAAACACTCTGTTTGGCGGGAATTGGGACATTTATTCTGAGATAGTGTTATTAACTGTTATCTTATAATGAATTCTTTGGTTAGATTAACACTTTAAAAAAAGGACTTAAACAGCTCATCATTATGGACATGGTTGTCTGTACGTGTATTATCAATATATATAAGCGATAAGAAGCTACAGGTAATTGGGTGTGTCCGGGCGATGGCACTCCCAGTGTCTTGGTGGTCACGTGACCCGGATGTGACATTTTATTACTTGGCGAAAACCAGCTTGGGAGGGGCTGTTGGTTTAATTATGTTGTCATGAATGTACCACGCTGTGCACTGCCTTATTTACGGAGGGCAGTCTTTAAATTCACATGATTATGCCAGGGCAGTGGTTTTGGGTACTGTTGTAATCACGAGCAAGGACATAGGTCGAGGATTGGGGAAGGGGTGGTCCGTCCCAATCATGAGCAAGGACTTACGTCGAGGATTGGGGAAGGGGTGGTCCGTCCCAATCATGAGCAAGGACTTA